CCGGACTTGAGTCAGATGCAGGAAGGGGTTAGTCCTCAACTTACAACTGTTTGTTTAACGTCCTTTTGAAATTACAGTACTTGCAACCAGTCCTCACACTTATAAACCACCGTTTTATCCCCAGTCATGTGATCCAAATTTGGGCTTTTGGCAACCGGCGTGTATTTGCACCAGTTGCGGCATTCTGGGGTCGCCATTTGCAATCTTCCCAGCCAGCTTTCAACAAGCAAAGTCGGGGAAGCCAGATTCACTTAGTGACCATGTGATTCACTTAATGACTGCAGTGGTTTTCTTAACAACTGCAAAAAAAAAAAAAGAAGTCAGGTCACAGGATGGCTCACTTAACATGGCTTACCGAGGGATGTCCCAGTCCCAGTTGTGATCATAATTTGAGGACTATTTGCAACCTTATTCAAAGTCTCTACAGATGGTCTAACTTACAATAGTTCATTTAGTGAGCATCTGAAGTAACAATGACACTGAAAAAAAATGACCATTTTTCACATGACCGTTGCAGCATCTCCGTGGTCATGTGAACAAAATTCAGGCATTTGGCCACTGACTCGTATTTATGACGATCGCAGTGTCCCAGAATCATGTGATCCCCTTTTGCGACCGGCCTAGAAAAGTCAATGGGGAAGCCAGATTTACTTAACAACCCAGTGATAACATCTGTAATGATTCACTTAACAACTCTTGGCAAGAAAGGTTGTAAAATGGGACAAAACTCAACGCGTGTCTCACTCAGGAGCAGAAATGGGCTCAATTGTGGTCGTAACTCGAGGACTACCTGTATTATGGTAAAGGTTCTCCTGCTGGAGCAGGGGGCTGGACTAGAAGACCTCCAGCTTCTGTTCTACTCTACGCCAGGGCTTTTCAACCAGTGGTACGGGTACCACCTGTGGTACATTGGCACCTGGCAGGTGGTACGCCACCATCCTAGAAAAGTGGTAGTGGGGGAGGGGAATGAGCTGAGCCGGTGGCAGCACCGCACAAGCCTGAGCGAGAGACGGCTGGAGCTGCAGGGCTGTCAGGGCTCAGCGGAAGTGCCAGGATCAGCGCCAGGCTCCAGCTAGAGCTCGGCACTGATCCTGGTGCTTCTGCTGAGCCCTGAAGAAGCACCAATCAGCTGGAGCTCGGCACTGATCCTGACACTTCTGCTGAGCCCAGAAGAAGCGCCGATGAGCTGGAATGTTGCAGCCTCTCCAGGGTCTTGTGATTTACATTCAGATGCTTGGCAATTGATTCATATTTATGACGGTCACAGTGTCCCAGGGTCATGTGAAGTGATCAAAACCTGTTGCAACCACCCAGCAGACGGGGGGAATAAAAACCAAAGACCCCCCCACCCACCCCCTCTGTCAATCCTCAACAGAAATGCTCACAACAATGAAAACCTCGGACAGGAGGAAGAGCGTGGGCGGGCGGGCAGGCAGGTGTCTTGCTCAGCTGTGGCTTGGGGGGCACTTTTTTCAGTCAGGTACTTTTTTCGAACAGTCACTAAGCAAACTGTTGTAAGTCGAGGACTACCTGTACTTTATCAAGTTTTTGACCCCTTGCTAGGCGACTGGTGGTACTCAGATGTTGCCATATCCTAAAAGTGGTACAATGGGTGAAAAGGTTGAAAAGCCCTGCTCTACGCAACGTGAGAGCTGAGACTGACCGGCAGAGGGCAGCCTGGTGCCATCCTGAAGGCATCTGAGAAAGAAGCTTCTGGTTTCCGGATTGCAGCAGCAGAGATTCCCTCCCACCACCACCACCACCCCTCCTCCTCCTCCTCCATGCAGTCGCTCAGCCCCTTTCCTGTTAACATAGTAGAAACCCAGAAAGCTGTTCCTCCCTGCTGCCCCCCTCCCTGCTCAGCCAGCACAAGCCATCCATGCCTGCATGGGGAACTGTTGCAGGAACTGGATATGTCCAGTCTAATGAAAAGAAGGACCAGGTGTGATATGATAGCCTCTTCCAATATTTGGGGGGGCTGCCACAAAGAAGAGGGGTCAGGCACCAGAAGGCAAGACAAGAAGCAACAGATGGAAACTGATCAAGGAGAGACGCAACCTGGAATGAAGGCAGGCTTTCCCGACAGTGAGGACAATTAACCAGTGGGACAGCTTGCCACTAGAAGTTCCCCCAAGGTCCTTTCCATCCCTATCATTCTATGATTCTGTGAGCTTGGATGGGGGAGTGGACTAAAAGACCTCCAAGGTCCCTTCCCAACTCTTGTTATCCTGACCCTGCTGCTTTCAAAGCTCACGTCCTCCTAGTCTAGGTCTGCATGCAGACCTTGCACCCCTGGCCCGGGCTTGACCCCCTCCGAGCCCTCTGCCACCTGGCGAGGCCTGCAGTGAGCAGCTTCCCTGGCCCATCTCTGCTGCCCAGCCCACGAAGCCTCTGAGACCCCCATCTCTGGCCCTGCTGGCCACCCCCGTCGTCTTTGCAGGAAGCAACTGCGGTTTGCTTTGGGTTTGCAGATGGCCACTATTGCCTGGCCTTGTGAATGTAGCCCTGGGTTCCTCCCAACGAATCCTCTCCCCCAAGACTGCTTATTCTGCCTCCCTGGCTGCCAGCCTTCCCCACGCACTGGCTCTCCTTAAGACAAAGGCTTCTGTCTCTCTGGCAACCCCGCACATTCGAGGCTGGCAAAGCTGCAGAACGGAGAGAAAAACCCAGTTCCTTCCGCCAACTGGCCCCCGATTGCGCGACGGGGAGGGGGAGCCACCCTGTCCCTGCCAGCCCCCCTTGCAAAGGGAGGCAGGAATCCTGGCAGTAAAAGGATCCTTCCGTGCCCCACAGCAGCCATGGTGTTGCCAAACCTTTTCTCCCCCGATATATTTTTTTTTCATGAGGACTAGAAACTTGGCTCTTGGCAACATGACATCCTCCATAAGGCCTGAACTTGGGAGACTGGCCTTGCAAGGTGTTTTTGGGTGGGACAGGGATTTGCCTGTGGCCAGAGAGTTTCTGCAAAAGCTGCCCAATTTGTGTGGGTCTTAGGAGGGGCAGGCCGGAGTTGTGTTGCAGAGAATAAAAAGCCAGCATTATGCTGTGGAATTTGAAGCCAGAATAGTGAGCTGAGCTTGGAGGGGAGGAAAAAAACGGAATCGATCGCCTAAGTCAGGGGTCTCCAACTGGGCTACTTCAAGACTTATGGACTTCAACATGCTGGCTAGGGAATTCTGGGAGATGAAGTCCACTAAAAGTGGCTAGGTTTGGAGATCCCAGGCCTAAGTTAATTTCCTTTGAAAGAGACAGACAAAAAAAAAAAAAGATAGTGGGATTTCTTCCAAATAAGAACTGAAAAAGGCACCCCGGCCTGGGTTTTAATTTATCTAAACCCAACATCCCAAGAGGAGGTCACATCTTTGCAAACGTAAGTTTCCCACTGGAACAGAGTCTGCAGCCTGCATTGGCTTGAACGCTAACTTGCAAACCATCATGTCCTACGAAAGCCCGGCCCTTGCAGTCAGCTTACGCTCCAGCAGGCAGGTTGCTCGAAACTGGAAAGTCAGGCTGACAGAGTAAACCACAATTTGGTTCACCGCAGATAAACTTAGGCAATCCCAGTCTGAATTTCCCCTCCTGAAAGTCTGCCTTTGATCACGTTTCAGCTACTCCGCACAATCTCTTGCAGACTTCTTTTAGTTTTGATTCTATTCACCTCCTGGCAGCAGCAGCAGCAGCTTTACTTCCCAAGGGGGGGGGGGCAGCCCCACCACGGAGGGGCCTGAAAACGGCCACGGGAAAAGAGAGGCTCCTTTGGAGAGCAATGAGGAGGGTGGGGGGGGACAGGAAAGGAAATTTGAAAGATAAGAGAGGAACCGCCATTACATTCGTTAGCCACGGCTGCAAACTCCTTGCGTTGTGTTTCTGGTGTGTTTCTCATCCAAACAGTTAAAGAGTCACTGTGTCAGAATCCAATCATATTTCATATCAAGTTATCAACTATGAAAAACTCCATCCCTGCCTTCCCTGGATTCTGTCATGGATGAAGGGAAGGGGGTGAACAAAGGGGCTTTATGGCCCTCACTTCCTTCAGGATACTTCAAAGGAACTGAATGTGGAATCACCAAAAGGACTAACAATAACAATAGGGGGTCATTAGCTNGTCCAAGGCTTGGCGTAAATTCTCCAGGCGTGCCAAGTAGGCCTTCTGCAATATTAATATTAAATACTATATTAATATTAATATTAAAACAGGAAGAGTTGGGGCCAGTGTTCCCCCCTCCCTTAAACCTGTCTCTTCTTAGAAGCATTCTTTGCCAGGAAAAAAAAAAATCAAATATAAGAGCGACTTTAATACAGTGAGAATGATTTAGCAATAGCACTTAGACTTATATACCGCTTCTCAGTGCTTTACAGCTCTCTCTAAGTGGTTTACAGAGTCAGCATCTTGCCCCCAACCATCTGGGTCCTGGGAAGGCAGAGTCTTCCTAGAGCCTGTCAGGATCGAACTCCTGGCAGTGGGCAAAGTTAGCCTGCCATACTGCATTCTAATCACTGTGCCACCATGGCAATGGGATGGGATGGGGTGAGGTGGGGTGGGGTGGGGTGGAGTGGAGTGGAGTGGAGTGGAGTTGAGTGGAATGGAATGGAATGGAATGGAATAGAATAGAATAGAATAGAATAGAATAGAATAGAATAGAATAGAATATGGAATGGAATAGAATAGAATAGAATAGAATAGAATAGAATAGAATAGAATAGAATAGAATAGAATATGGAATGGAATAGAATAGAATAGAATAGAATAGAATAGAATAGAATAGAATAGAATAGAATAGAATAGCATTTAGACTTATATCCTACTTCATGGTGCTTTATAGCCCTTTCTAAGTGGTTTACGCCTCTTGCCCCCAACAATCTGTGTCCTCATTTTACTGACCTCAGAAGGATGGACCTCAGCTCAGCCACTGATCAAAAGTGTGGTCCCACTTTTCAGCAAGCAGTTCTGCCTCCCTGCCCCCCCCCCCTCTCCTCAGTCAAGAACTCACCAGCACATCCACACGATTCTTCACAAATTGCAAAAAGATCTCCATAATTTGATCCTGGCTCCGTGTCTGCTTGAAATCCCGTTGCACAGCTCCCCCCTCGATCTGCAGAGAGGGAAAAAGAGAGAGCAATAGCACCTAGACTTATATACCGCTTCACTGTGCTTGAAGCCCTCTCTAAGAGGTTTACAGAATCAGCCTCTTGCCCCCTCCCAACAATCTGAGTCCTCATTTTACCGACTTCGGAAGGACAGAAGGCGGAGTCAACCTTGAGCTGGTCAGGATCGAACTCCTGGCAGTGGGCAGAGTTTAGCCTGCAATACTGCATTCTAATCACTGCGCCACCACAGCTCAGGGACAGTTTGGAAAGTGGGTATTCTGACCTGTTGATGGAAGACTTGCTTCTCCAGCACAGACACACAGACACATGTGCAAACACACACACTCTCTCTCTCTCTCTCTCTACTTCAGCTGCTCACCGTCACCCCCTCAATCCGGAACCCCAGAGACGTGCTGGAGCTGGTACTTTCCCTCCACTGCATGTAACGGGGCTTGGTGATGGCCCCTTGGCTGTGCTCCTCCGGCGTGGGGGCCCAGGGGTCAATCTTCACCATCTTCTGGTAGAGGTCTCGCCGGGGGGCTGACCGGGGATGACTCTTGCCCACTTCGTCCTCCAAGTACGTTCTGGACAACCGCGAGGAAAGAGAAGCACAATTACTTGGGGAGTTTGATTCTCCCTCCAATTAACTCAAAAATACCCCATTTACTAGTGGAGGGGGGAATGGTGGTGGGACTTTGCATTGCTGTCTTGTCCAGCAACCGGGGAGGGGTCAGTTTTCCCAGGAGAACCGGGCAGGAAACAGACTAGATGGGCTAATTTTACTTCATTGTAACGCTATATTACAGTTGTCCTCGATTTACAGTCATTCGTTTAGTGACTTATGATTTATGACCGTTTTCACACTTAGGACCGTTGCAGCATCCCCATGGTCACGTAATCAAAATTCAGGCACTTGGCAACTGACTCAGATTGATGATGGTTGCAGTGTCCCGGGGGGTCATGTGATCCCCTTTTGTGACCTGGGGAAGTCAGATTCACTTAACCAAGTAACTCTCTTAATGGCAGTGAGTCACTTAACAACGGTGGCAAATAAAATGGGGCAAAAACTTACTTCACAACCGTCTTGCTCAGCAAGAAAAAATTTGGGCTCAATTGAGGTCGTAAGGCAGGTCTGAAAGGACAAACCTCCCTCCATCTCTTTTTATGGCCAGATAAGTTATGTTTTCTTTCTCTGTCCATTAGGCAGCTGAGGGCCTCCCACTCTCTTATCTGGTCGTGTTCGCTAGGGATCATTATTACAAGATCATTCCCACATAGATGCGTTTGGATCCAGGAAGATTTGGAAGAGGAATTTGTAAATTAAAGATGGGCCCAATCCACTTCTTCCCACCCACCCTGTGAGGAAGGCCGCTCTGACCTGGTGCCCATCTTGCAGTCCATGATGCTGGGATTCTGGAGTCCGAGGAGAAGATCGTCCATCTGGATGTAGCGCTCTTCGCCCACCTCTGCCACCCCATGGTAGGCAGGCACAAAAGGGCGCAGGACGTCCGTCATCAGCTCAGACAGACACGCCTCCTCCACAGCGCTGAACTTCTTCAGGATCAGGCCCCCTTCGCTGGGTTTGAAGTTCCCTGAAAGGAGAAGGGAGGGGAACACGTGGAAGCCAGGAGCAAAACAGGGCTCTGCCTTAAAAAGTGGCCTTTTCTGCATGAATGGCTGGGGAATTCTGGGAGCTGTAGTCCACCCCTCTTAAAGCACGCTGGCTGGGGAATTCTGGGAGTTGAAGTCCACCCCTCTTAAAGCAGTGGTTCTCAACCTGTGGGTCGGGACCCCATTTGGGGTCGATCGACCATTTCACGGGGGTCGCCAAGCAAGGCTGTCCGCCATTTTTCCCCCCTTTTCCGGCGGGTGCCTTACCTCCCTTGGGCTGGGCCAGCTGGTGGTCGGCCTGCTCCGTCTCTGCCGCTTGCCAGCTACGCCTCGGCCGGCGCAGGGGGCGGAACCACGCATGCACGGCGCTCCCGGGCAGGGAAAGTCCTCGACTTACGACCGGTTGGGTAGTCCTCAACTTACAACCGGTTTAGTCCTTGACTTACGACCGGTTGGGGTCGCGGCATTAAAAAGGTTGAGAACCACTGTCTTAAAGGATGCTGGCTGGGGAATTCTGGGAGCTGTAGTCCACCTACCTTAAAGTTGCCATGGTCGAGAAACACTAACCCCCTGGCCTGTTTGGTCTCCAATTTGGCCTTGGCTCCTGATCCCCCTCCCCACACCTTCTCCTGGGCACCCCACAGGTCCTTGTGCGACTCATACCTTCGTGTCCGGCCAGCTGCACCCAGGAGCTGCGTCTTCGCAAGGACCAGTGGACCATGGTGAAAAACGTCTTCCAGGATTTTGTCTAGAGAGGAAAGCCAGAAAACGGATGGTTGAAAACATGGAAACTCCGTGTATACGCGTGGGGTGAAACCAGAAACCCTGGTGGGGAGGCCTCCCCCAGCAAGGATATATCCATGGATGGTGTTCACACAACCTGACTTGGCCGGGCTCAACAACAAATATTTGAGCTTGACACATCAAAAGAACACAAGACATTGTTTCTTTGACAACTCACTTTTTTTTCAAACTGCATTTAACCCAATACAGGAAGTCTTTGACTTATGACCATAATTTAGGCCATAATTCTGGTTGTAAGTCCAGCCGGTTGTTAAGCGGATCACCCATATGACTGAAGCCGATTTTATGATTTTTTTTGTGGCAGTCATTAAGCAAAATTGCACATAACTAATTACATGTAATAACTGCACTATTCTAGTATTGGAGGGGGCTGCCCCAAAGAAGAGGAGGGGGTCAATCTATTTTCCAGAGCACCAGAGGGCAGGACAAGAAACAACGGATGGAAACTAATCAAGGAGAGAAGCAACCTGGAATTAAGGAGAAACTTCCTAACGGGGAGGACAATTAACCAGTGGAACAGCTTGCCATCAGAAGTTGCGGATACTCCATCCCTAGAGGCTTTTAAGAAGAGATTGGATAGCCATTTGTCTGGAATGGCATAGGGGAGGGGTCTTCAAACTTGGCAATTTTAAGGCTTGTGGACTTCAACTCCTAGCATAGGGTCTCCTGCTTGAGCAGGGGGTTGGACTAGAAGACCTCCAAGGTCCCTTCCAGCTCTATTCTGATTGATAATGGACTGCTAAGTATGGGATGCTGCAAACAGTCATCAGTGCAGACTGGCTGCCAGCTGCCCAAAATGCAATCATGTGATTGTGTGTTTGTGTGGCTGTCAGAACTTCAAACTGAGATGTAAGTAGCTCTGGGGAGGTCTGTCATAACTCTGAGTGACCTGTTGTAAGTTGAGGACTATCAATATTAGGATGCTGACAAGACACCATAATCCCAATAGCAGCAACATGGGACCTTCCTCATCTCCAAGTGGTTAAGGAACCAGGCTCGAAAGCAGGAGATTGTGAGTTCAAGTCCTACCTTAAGCATGAAAGCCGACTGGGTGACTTTGGGCCAATCACCAGGAGACGGTGAGTTCTAGTCCCGCATTAGGCATGAAAGTCAGATGGGTGACTTTGGAATGGCATAAGGACTCCTATCTTGGGCAGGGGTTTGCTCTCTTCCAGCCCTACGATTCTAAGATCCTATGGGCCAGTCCCTCTCTCTCAGCCCATCCCGCCTCACAGGGTTGTTGTTATGGGGGAAAATAGGAGAAAGATGGTGCATATAAATCCCTATGCATATGAGACCCCACCTGGAATACTGCAACCAATTTTGGTCACCATACTACAAAAAAGATGTTGAGACTTCAGAAAAAGTTCAGAGAAGAGCAACTAAGATGATCAAAGGCCTGGAGACTAAAACATACGAAGAACGACTGTAGGATTTGGGGATGGCCAGTCTAGAGAAAAGAAGAAACAGGGGAGACATGATAGCAGTATTCCAGTATTTGAGGGGCTGCCACAAGGAAAGGGGGGGGGGGTCACATTATCCACCAAAGCACCAGAGGGCAGGACAAGAAACAATGGTTAGAAACTGAACCAAGAGAGAAGCAACCTGGAACTAAGGAGAAACTTCCTAACAGTGAGGACAGTTAATCAGTGGAACAACTTGCCAATAGAAGTTGTGGGTGCTTCATCACTGGAGGTTCTTAAGAAGAGACTGGACAGTCACCTGCCTGAGACGGTATAGGTCAGTGATGGTGAACCTTTTAGAGACCGAGTGCCCAAACTGCAACCCAAAACCCACTTATGCATCATCGGGTGCCGGGTAGGTGTGGCCCATTGGCTGGGTGTGGCCAATTGGGTGGGTGTGGCCCATTGGGTGGGCGTGGCTGCAGTGGTAACAGCAGACTGGGTGGGACTAAAAAGTTCAATCAATCAATTCCAACTTTGCAAGATCTTTTTTTCCCCGCGAGAAGTTGAAATTGACTGATTGATTGAACCTTTTTTTTTTTTTGCACACGGCGGCGGAGGCCTAAAGTGAAAAGGTTTTATAAAACCCAGCTGAAGGCCCAGGACTGGGGTGACGGCGCGCGTGCCCACAAAGAGGGCTCTGAGTGCCGCCTCTGGCACCCATGCCATAGGTTCGCCACCACTGGTATAGGTTCTTCTGCTTGAGCAGGGGGCTGGACTAGAAGACCTTCAAGGTCCCTTCCAGCTCTATTCTATTCTATTGGACATATTTTTCACCTTGACTTATTTGTCAAAATAATAAAGGCGGAATACACCTAAATAAGTAAATAAGCAAAAACCCTATTGTTCTAAACACACAAAAAACCCCAGGAACTAGAATAGAATAGAATAATGGAGTTTGAAGAGACCTTGGAGATCTAGTCCAGCCCTCTGCTCAAGCAGGAGACTCTAAACCATTTCAGACAAGTGGCTGTCCAGTCTCTTCTTAAAAACCTCCAACAATGAAGCACCCACAACTTCTGGTGGCAAGCTGTTCCACTGGTTAATTGTCCTCCCTGTTAGGAAGTTTCTCCTTAATTCCTGGTTGCTTCTCTCCTTGATTAGTTTCCATCTGTTGTTTGTTGTCCTGCCTTCTGATGATTTGGAAAATAGGTTGACCTCCCCGCTCTTCTTTGTGGGAGCCCCTCCAATATTGAAAGACTGCTATCATAGCACCTCTGTCCTTCTTTTCACTAGATTAGTCCAGTCTCTTTTTGGAAGCCTGCTTCCACAAAGAGGGAAATTCCTAAAAAAAAACCTGCAAGCTGGGCCCTGCATTACAGCCGCCTCTTGCAAGGATGTGCAAAATATGTGCAAAACAGCCAACTGATCTTTGTCCACACAACGCCAGGCACAATCGTTGGGGCCCTCCAGGCTTCCCCAACAGAAGAGGAAGCAGGAACCGACGTGCATCACTCCAGGCAGGAAATCTCAGCCTGACTTGGCCGAGAGATTGCTTCCTCTTACACAGCTGAGCTGGGAGCCCCTTGAGCAGCTCTGCCACGCTCGGCACCGGAAAACTAGCCAGCTAGCACAGCCACACCTGGAATGCATCAGCACGAGGGCCCCGGGAGTGACACCAGTTCTGCAACGGGCCAGGAAACCGCCTGCAGTCTGGGCAAAGGCTCACCTGCAAGCATGCAGAGTCCTTTTGCACGGCAGCTGGGCGTGGGGCTCTGGGTCACATGGTCCAGGCGCCACGGGGTTGACTCTCCTCTCTGTTGTGGCAACGCGGCAGCTTTACAACACAGCCTGGAGAGTTTGCTGAGCATCTTCTGGGAGCAGCACATTGGAGGGGGTTAGCGGTTCCTCGCACCCAGAACCAACCGAGCGGCATTCCAAAGGATGGACGCCACCCCAAAACCTGATGGCTCCAGAGTCAAAAACTTAACACTTGTCTGGGTTCCAGTCCACAAACGACGGAGATCAAAGGCGGCGGCAATGATGAAATGCACTTTATTTATTGCAGAGTTTTCTGCACAGTCCTCCTAAAACCACCCATTGGGAGGTTTTGCAGGGTTCAACGCCATCTGATTCATAATAACACAGTGCTTAGCGAAATAAATAAAAAGTTTTGGCATCAAAATGCCTTCATTTAATTGTGTAGCTGACTTTGGCAAAAAAAAAAAAAAAAACAGCAGTTGGGTAGCCCCGTTTCTAATCAAGAAATGTTATTAAGAGGCAGAAGATTATTTTAATGAAAAAAACAACACAAAGCTTTTTTTTAAAAAAAGGAGTTTGAGAAGTTTTTGCCCTTTACTAAAATTAGTAAAGTTAGTCAGGAAAGAGACTTCTCAACTTCTAACCAGATGCTCAGAAATTTTTTAAAAATGCAATGAGAGGTTTAATCTTTTGATCTGGACACTCAAAGGTTTGATTCCCCCAATTAATACAAGTAGTCCCGACTTACAACTATTTGTTTAGTGACCGAAGTTACAACATCACTGAAAAAAGTGACTTGTGAACGGTTCTTACAACCACTGCAGCATCTCCCTGGTCATGTGATCAAAATTCGGACGCTTGGTAACTGGCATGTACTTAAGACGTTTGCACGGTCCCAGGGTCACGTGATCCCCTTTTGCGACCTTCTGACAAGCAAAGTCAACGAGGAAGCCAGATTCACTTAACAACCGGGTGATTCACTTAACATCTGTGGTGGGAAAGGTCATAAAATGGGGCAAAACTCACTGAACAACAGTCTTGCTCAGCAACAGAAATTCTGGGCTCAATTTTGGTCATATGTTGAGAACTACCTGTATGTGCGGAAGGATACAGGCAGTCCTCGACTTACAACAGTTCATTTAGTGACTGTTCAAAGTTGCAATGGCACTGAAAAAAGTGACATGACCATTTTTCACAGTTACGACCATTGCAGCATCCCCCATGGTCACGTGATCAAAATTCGGATGCTTGGTAACTGGTTCATACTTATGACCGTTGCTATGTCCCAAAATCACGTGATCCCCTTTTGCAACCTTCAGACAAGCAAAGTCAATGGGGGAAGCCGGATTCACTTAAGAACTGTGTGACTAACTTAACAACTGCAGTGATTCACATAATAACTGTGGTCATAAAATGGGGCAAAACTCCCTCAACAAATGTCTCACTTAACGACAGAAATTTGGGGCTCAATTGTGGTCGTAGGTTGAGGACTTCCTATATATGCAGAAGGATATTTATCAGCCTGCCTAAAAAGTAAGGTTTTAAAGAATAACCAGGTTGTTATCCAGAGCCTTAAAAACCCACCCAAAATATCAAATTTTCTGATTTGCTGTTGTGCAGAAGCAAAAGTCTAGCTCAGATTCTAGGAGACATCTACAACTGGTATGGAATTTAACTGCCATAATCCCCATCCTGGATGATTGGGGATGAGGGGCCCTCTCCACATTCTGGGGGAGGTGGTCCCAAATCCCTATTTTAAGCCTTCCAGACTCTCCCATCG